AGAATCAATTGTCGAGAGAGATGAAGAAAGAGGTTAAGAGAAAACAAAATATTACGAGGCGGTGTGGATGAGAGAGTCAAAGGAATAGACGGAGACGGGGATAGTTAAAGAGGGTGAGGGAGAGAGACAGAGAGAGAGAGAGAGGGGGGGAGAGAGGGGGAGAGAAAGAGGGAGGAAAAAATATCATATGAGAGAGAATGAGACAGACAGAGACAGACATACAGATAGGTAGATAGATGAACAGACAGGGAGACAGCCAGAAAAAAACAGGCAAATACAGAAAGACAGATTGAGAAAAATAAAAACATAAACTGGGAGAGAGAGACATAATGAAGGAAGACTTAAAGTGTTGTAGATCGATAGCGATATATATAAACTATATTATAGAAAGGAAAAGATATATACAGACAGGAAGAGAGAGAGAGAGAGAGAGAGAGAGAGAGAGAGAGAGAGAGAGAATGCAGGAATGTTTTGTCATATCCTACCGTGCTCTGACAATCCCATTTCCCCAAAACAAAACAACAGCAGGTGCTCTTGTCATATCCCCTACCCCTCGTTACTCCCCCTCCCTACCCCCTCTTTCCTCCCTCTCCTCCCCCACCCCTTACCCCTCTTTCCTCATTATTCCTGTTGACAGCAAAACTCTAACTTTGGGTTTTGCTAATTTGGAGCGCAAACTTCCACTTCATTTCTACTGAATTATATTATTGCAAGGTACAGTTGTCTAAGAGGCCAACAGAAGTTTGCAGATGGTTTTTCTCAAGTTCCCTTTGCCTGTTGAGATCATGGTTAAGATAAGTACACAGCAGAGAGCGTTTTATATTGATCATTTCATCACCAACTCGTTTCGTAAGTTTCGCACAAGGTGCTGAAAAAATGTTTAAGTGTCTCTAAGGTCTCCTTTGATGACAAAAGTGAAAATGGTCCACCTGTTAGTACCTTTACAGAATCAGAACTAAGATTACCAGAGAAAATGGTCAGTTCAGGTCAAACACACAGCGTTCACACCCTTTTAAACGTCATTAGGGTGCAGCATTCA